GGTATGGTATGGTATGGTATGGTATGGTATGGTATGGTATGGTATGGGAAAGGAAAGACAGAATGGTTCATGTCCTGTGAACCAAGACAGATCTGAAGAGGTGAAAGTGGTGAGGAGCAGGCAGATGAGGGTGGCTTGATTGCCACCCAGGGCCATGGTGAAGTCTGGGTCTAGGCTACTACTGGGGCCTAGGTCTGGGTTCATGACCCTGATGCAGCTGAGGTCTGTGTTGATGTCTGTTGTTGTCAGGGTTTCTGTCCTACCTGGTTTCTGCCCTCCCAACAGGTCCCACAGCCATTTAACCCCAAAGAAATCACAAAGAGGTCTATATTAATGATAAACTGATTGGCCCATTAGCTCAGGCTTCTTATTAACTCTTATAACTTATATTAACCCATTATTCTTATTTATGTTAGGCACATGGCTTGGTACCTTTTTCAGCAGGGCAATCACATCTTCCTTCTTCTGTGATTGGAACAGGACTGAGGAGGAATGAACTTCCTCCTTCCCAGAATTCTCCTGTTCTCATTGACCCGACTCTACTTCCTGTCTGGTTGTCCTGCCTATATTTCCTGCCTGGATACTGGCCAACCAGTGTTTATTTAAAACATAATTGACAGAATATAGACAATGGCCCCACACCAGTCTGTGGTTCCTAATACCACAGAAGGCCAAGAAGATAGGGCTGTACAGAGTTGGTCCTGGTCCTCACTGACTGCAATACTTTGAAAAACTGGTCCTGCCCAGCACCAACTGAAGCACTCAGGAGAGAGGGTTCTACACCTCACCTGGGCAGCACAATATCGATCAAGGGGCAAGATCCATCTGAACCTAAGGGAGTGAGAATGGGAGAGCAGGTAATGCCTGTCATGTGGTGAGGGAAACATGCCTTCCTTTGCCCCTTGCTCCTCACTCCTTACCCCTTACCCCTTGCCACCTGCAGCATCTGGGAGACCTGACCCAAACCCTCATCAGACGTGGCACTCAGGAGAGCAGGCTATGTGCCTCACCTGGGAACCACAGTAGAATTGACCCCATAAACAGGGGTACAGGTGGTCCAGCACTGAGGACATGAGTGGGGCGTAACTGGTTCCCCCTCCCCGATCTGTGATGTAGCAGTGGCATGAGGAAAAGGTGCCCCCCAACCTCTATCTCCTCCAGGTGCCAAGGGTGCTAGCTGACCCTCCTTTTTCCCAGCTACAGCACTTGGGAAAGTAGGCCCTGTACCTCATCTGGGCAGCACAGCAGAGCTGACCCTGTTGATGTGACCTGGGGTGAGACAGCTCAAGAATGTGAGCATGGGAGATCTGGCATTGACCCTCATCTGTCATACTGGGCACAGGAGGAGGAACAATTCCCTCTCTATAGCCCCCTATACCTGAGATGGTGGGAGAGCTGGTCCTGAGGTCATAAGAGTGGGAGAGCTGTCTCTACCTCCCACCAGCTGCAGCACTCTGGAGAGTGGCCCCCGCATCTAGTCTGGGCAACACAGTAGAGCTGTGCCTGATGATGCAGGCATAGGAGAGCCAACCCTGAAAGCATAAAGCAGGAGAACTGGCCCTGCCCATTGCTCATCACTGCAGGGAATGAACTAGCCAAGGCAGTGCGGGAGAGCTCACCATTGTGGTGAGGGTGAGGGGGAGCTGGCAGGTTGACCAAACCTACAACAACCCAGGCCCTGAACCAGGGTTATGAGTTGGCCACCCCAACATCAATCTGCTGGATCAAGTGAAGAGGCCAGTACTGTAGGCCCAAAGATACAGGATTTTCATATCACAGAGCAACAACGGGCTATCCAAAAGGAGACCAGTGAGGACCCAGAATCAATAACGCAGTAGAAACCAGAGTCCTTGTACCAGATCAGTGACTCCGCAATGAACATTTGCAAGTGAAAATAAATGAATAAAGGGTTTTTTGTATGTCTCACTGAGTCACACTACAGCTTCCATGATGAGATTGATTCTTTTTTTTTCCTCTAAATTTTATTTTATTTTGAGGGGAGAGGTTGCAAGGGCAGAGGGTGAATATAAAGGAATGGAGAATAAATGGGATAGGCATGCATGATGTGAAAGACATAAAGAATAAATAAAAAGAAAAAGCATTTAATATTTTTAAAGAATCATTAAAAAATAAATTCAAAAATAATTGAAAATCAAATATAAGAATGTATCAAAAAGATCATCAATAATGATCAAGTAGGCTTCTTTCCAGTGTTGCAGGGGTGTTTCGATATATGAAAATTAGCTAAAGTAATCCACCACATAAACAAACTAAAAGATAAAAAAGAAAAACAATGATCATTTCATTAGAAAAAGCCTTTGACAAAATCCAACACCCCTTCGTGACAAAAGTCCTAGAGACATTCGGGATACAGGAACATACCTAAA